TCATTAAAATCCATTCACCTTTGACTTCTAATCTTCTTGGATATTCAGGGTTTTTGGCGATTGCAGTAGGTTCATTAATAATTTATGCTTGTTCAGCCTTTTGGTTTCAAGTAAGTTACAAATTAGTCACATTTTTTATTCATTTGGCCATGCAAAAGTAGGATCGCTAACCTGGTCATTGTTTCTGCTTTAAAACTTGAACAGTTCAATCTTTTCTGTGGCATTTACTCGGCTCTTTTGGCTCGATCCAAAATCAAATTAGATACAATTCAAAGATTAAAGGTAATTAACTCACTTTGTTGAATCACAATATCAATCTAATTTGCGTAGATTTTGCATATTTTAGAAATGTGTTCATACAACGGCATCAAAATTGGCGATTTTTGCATCATTAAAAGAACACTTCTTGTCTATGTATGTACAGTGACTATCATGAAAACTGTTGACCATTAATGCTACTGTATTAATACTTATTTTAACTTTTTCTCGATTTCAGTTTCTTCTTGAAAATGCAGCGGCAATAATGTTATTAGTTGTAAACTTGCGATCACTAGATGCTTAACTTCGAAACCATTAATCAAGCAAACTTAGCAAACAAAACAGAAATGTTTTTCATTTCAGCTCGTAAACATCTTAAACTTGACATGATCTCGAGCGAAATTTTCATCAATATGCTGCTTAAATCCATTTGGACTAATGATACCGACAATCGATTAAATAAAGACTTTTGGTTGGCAAATTGAAACATTAGAAAACAACAAAAACACTCAATATTTACATTTTCAACCATCAAAAGCACCCAAGAGTATCAAAACTTTACAATATTATGACTCGAGTCATTAAATTTTCATCGTAAACCATTTAGCAACGAACCGAGACAATTTATATTTACTGAGTTTGCCGTTTTTTTTACATTGATCAAGTTAATTGTATTCGTTGTTAAATCTTTAATCGTTGTTGGTCTTCATTTTTAAAGTTCAATATAAGCTCAATATTTGCTTTGCAATTCAAGTTTTGAATCAGTTGACAATAGACACAATTACCAACCAAAATGCGAGTAAGAGAGAAAAGTAAGTTCAATAAAAGTTTTTCATTTATTATGACTTTACTCATTCACAATGGTTAACCAACAAATGCTTTCTTTCAACTTGACTCGACACTTTCATTCACTTTTAGGTTTCAATTCTGACCATAAAATTATTCGTAAAGCCATTACCAGATTCAATTCCGTTTCCCTTTACACATTCATGTTGAAAAATGGCTGCCGACAGCATCAATCCTCTTCTAGTTTACCCAATTTCACCCTGAAATTGTTAA